GGAAGATTTCAGCAGCACTGCCTGCCACCTGGTCCCGACGGTGCAGGCTCAAATCTCTCTGCCTGAGGGCGAAGTGGGGCCGGGGCAGGCACTTGCAGCAATTAGACTACAGGAACTACAACCATCCGGTCCGCAGCAAATCATTACTCTGTGCCTATTATTCCAGCCACCGCGACTCAAGACTCGACACGGCAGACGAGTGCCATGATCGGAATGTTCGTGGTCTGGCAAACTCAAAAATGGCAATGCCGTGCATGCATGAGCACTGCTGCACGCCGCCGGCACCTATGCCCTACAGCCACAACCCCAGCTGCACATCAAGCGCTGATATCAGCCAACGACCAGCACGGGGCGCTTGGCGTTGCAGGTCTCGTGATATTCTTGGAAAGTGCTCGGATGAGGATGAGCAAGATGAGATGCCTTGATAGCCGGAGGACAGACGACGAGTGCGTGGGCTACTGGCCACCCTGAAGGGCTCTAGAACGTGTCAGGGACAGCCATCAGTCAGGACGACCAGATGGCGGGTTCAGACAACAGCTAGCAACACGTTCCTGTCATGGCCGCACGGAACGGTCAGTCCGTCGTCCACCATTCAGCTCAGATCGACAACTCAATCAGGTGCGTCTCAGTAAGACCTAGAAAAGCAAATACCGGCCTCATCGATGTTTGCTTGTTTGCCCCGGCCGAACATGGCTGGACCCAAGGCAAGGCAAGGCGAGGCAAGGTAAGGCACGCATTCACAGGGCAGGACACACCACTGGACTGGGTCGTCTTGTCATGTCTCATGGTCTCTCCGGTCGACCGCGGACATGGGCCTCGCAACCTAATCGACAATCGATAAGGAATTAGGTGTAGGGGAACAGGAGGAGGACGGCTACGGTGTGGCGTCTGGAAAGGTTGTTGCTGATGACGGACGCTATGTGATCTTCCCGCGCGGGAAGGCCTCTTCCTTGCAGTTCATCACTCGCTCGTTCGTCCAGCAGCAGCTATTTTCGCCGCCTGGCGGTGGGTTGGAGGCTTTGAAGGGCAGCAGTTCGTCTGTGGAAACACGCCGTGTCCTTCTATTTTGAAAGAAAAAGGAAGCATGTGCAGACAGTGGTGGAAGGCAGCCATAAACACCCAAGAAAAACGCCCAACTGGCGAGCGCTGGTCAACACACCACCCATCTCACTTGCAGATTCGCAGTGCAAGAACGCCTAGCGCATGCCGCGCACTCGCTGCGGCTACACACGCTCGTCGTCTAACCTTCTCGATCGAGGCAAGGTTGGGCTGAACTGCGTTGGGTTGGTTGGCTGTCTTTGCCGCAGCGGCACCGGTGCCGGTCGGATTCAAGATGGACATAGTTAACGTCCGTAGGGACTTTGGCGTGCTCGGGGTGGGCAGAAAGCCGGGTTGGTCCTGGCTGCGTCCCGTACCGCACCGTCATCGACACCGCACTCCCCATCAAGGAATGGGTACGCAGTACGGCTCGCAAGTACGGATACTTGTGAGGAATACTCTGGTACACTGAGAGGCGAGCGGGTGAGCTGGCTGAGCTGATGGTTCGATCATGTCTTTCCCCGGATATGGCGTACGGGCTCGGAGTGGGTGAACACAATTGGAAACCGAACCAAGGCGGGGTTCTTCAATAAGCAGAACGGGCCTTCTGTCACCTCGTGAGCAACATCCGCCTCAGAAAAGAGCCACTGATCTTACGGGCAGTCAGACACGGTGGGTAAGGAGTTCCTTGCGGCGCTTGACTCACCAATGCTCCGCCAGACAACCCAACGTGGTCGGGGTCGGGTTGGAAGCCAAGAAGGAGTCCGTATCCGTACAGAACATGCTGCGTCGTAGGTAGGTTCGGAGGGCAAGGCCGATGAGATTCGGAGCGGTCAGGCACGGACGATAAGGTACGGATGCCGTAGTCAGGGTATCGTTTCTTCACCTTGCGGATGCCATTGCGCCCACCTTGCTTTCTGACAGTCCGCAAGGTAGGTGAAGTGGTGGTGGTGGTCTCTACCTTGGTCTTCCTGGTTCCTTGCCAGGCGCTCCCCGCCATGCCTAATTCGACTAGTGCACCTGGCAACTACTGGTACGTACCGGCAGCTGTCCCGACCACACGCCGTCCCCACTTCGGATTATCGACGAACGACTGCTTTTTTTTTTCCCCCCTTCCTTTCTCTCAGCAGTGTTCTCTCCACCACAACACCAACCAGTGCACGAGCATCGACAGGGATCCCGATCCTTTATTCCAGTCTCTCTCCCAGGACTTCCATGCCCCTCTCCTCTGCCCTGCCCGCACTTGCTTGTCCGCTGTCTAGCATTCGCGAGGCGAGACGACGAGCGCGAGTGCGCGCAGAAGAGAGGGTAATTTCTCTAATGGACGCCGTCCTGCAACCTGATGGAGACGGACGCTACCTAGCCCATCTGCTGCTCTCTTTCAAATCATACCTTTCTTATCCCCGTGCCCTTGCCAGGCACATCACTCCTTTGTGATTGCTGCTGCTGCTTCCTCCGCCTCCCCAATCCGAACCCCCGTCGGCCACGGTTTGTCCCGAGCGGCCGTCTTGACGTTCGTTTTCACATTGCACAGGATTACCAGGAGAAGACATTCTTTTCTTCAGTCGCGTGTTCTGCATCGGTCCTATCCGCCAGCCGACACTGCCGTGGTTGTGCCCAAGGGGTCAGGCGGGGAGCGAGAAAAAGGAAACATAATTAATAACTGATGAGAGAGGCATCATAACACACATTAACCCGTCGGACCAACATGCATCATGTCTTTGCCCTGGCTGGCCAGTGCCGGGCTAGGTTTGCTACGCAAAACCGCCGTCCCGACGTACTGGCTCCCGGCCCAAGTCTGTCCGTCTTCTGGGGTCCATCGAGTTTCTGCACCTGGGACAAGACAAGCTGAAGGCCACACACACACACTCAGAGAGAGGGAGAGAGAGGGCGCGAGGAGGGCGGGAGACAAGCAAGCGCTCGTTGGCAATTGGCACTGGCGTTGGCGCATCAAGCAACAAGGCCTGCTGTTCGGTAACCTCTCACACGCACCCGGTTCAGCCCAGCCCGTCAGCCAGTGTCTGTCCCAGGATCCCACCTCGAGGGCATCTCGCAATCTCACACTCTCGTCTTCCTTTCTGTTCCTCTCGATCGTATCAATCCGTCTCCCATAGGTTATCTGCTCTATTTCTTTCCTGGTCTCTGCCTGAACGAGGCCCTCAGAGCAGGACTACTATGACAGTCAGTCCCTTAGCACGGCCCTGGTTCCCGGTCGACGTCGAAACAGCTGCCCCAATAGGGAATAAGGTCACTGAATTATCCACTTGTCCCGATCACAGACCAGCTGGTACGGGCTGCCGTACCGTTCTACACTACGACGTTAGCCCGCCCCAGTCCAGTGGCCCGCCCACGCCCTGCAGTTTACGGGCTGCTTAGTGGTGTACCTGGTGTACGTAGCTGGTGTAGGAAAGAGAAAAGGCGAGCGCGAGGTGCGCTTCAGGACCCAGTGGCCCGTCTCCTTGAGGCCAGCCAGGGCTTGAGCGATGTCATTGTCATCTCTCCTCTCACCTCCCGTCCCCGCCAGGTACCTACGGTACGGTACGGATACCGCTCCCTGCCTCTTGTTGCCCTTTCCTTGCCGGTACGGATACCCTGCCCTGTCGTCTTGCCTTGCCTGTCTGGCCTTAGCCGGGTGTACAGCAACTCTCTCTCTTTCTGTGTCTTCCTCTACTGCGTACTGCATATGAAGGCTGCGAGGGTGAAGGACGCTAGCCATAGCCCTGCAGCCCATCCCAAGCAGGGACGTTGAGGGTACTGACCGGGGCGTTCATACCGCGGCTGCCAATGCTTTTGCAGAAAATGCTGGAGCCTATCGATCCCTTCCCCGTCCCCGCCACAGCCCCATGTCTTTTCTTCAATTGCTAAGACAGGTAGGCGGACTTGGAGACTGGACTGTGCCCGTCTGCCCATCACTCTGGTAGTCTTTCTGGGTCTCTCTTCCTTTGCCTTTGCCTCTGGCCTGGACACTGGAAGAAGTGGGAGAGACACCTCTGACTGCCCTTGACCTTCGCTCCACCAGCAGCTGGTCCTGTCCTGTCCCCAGAGTCCTTGTCCTGGGTATTGCATGTCACACTCATAACGCAAAGACGCACACCTCCTCGTTCTACGCCGCACATACACACATATTTACAGTACACACACGCCACACACCTTTCTCACCTCTGCCTCTCTTGCTCTCCGTCTCTTCATCCCCCACACACACACCCCAGGGAGTCCTACGCCTCCCGTAAAACACCCCCTCCCCTCCCCTTCCCTCCTCCCCCTTCTTCGACCGTTGGGACCACACCCCCCTCCTCACACACTGGTGCTGGTGCTTGTACCTCCGTACCGTACCCTTCTTCCCCCATCCTGGTCACCATAATCCCATCTCTCTCTCTCATCCTCGAACCCCTGCCACCACGTCTGGGCCTACCTCCATCCAGTGTAGCTTGTCTTCGAACATGCCCATCTCTCCTCCGTCTGCTGCTGGCCCTGCTGCTGCATGGCCAGACGGTACGTCGACACAAGGTCGGGATCTAATACCATAACTCCACACGCTACTTGCTACATGTCGTTCACTGCCCACTCCCATTTATAAGACCAGTGCCCGCTCCTGGACCCGTGAGGCTGAGATCTTTAACCTTCTGATGATGTCCAAGTATAGCATCTGTGATCTCAGTTGAACCGAAAGCCTCCACCCGGCCAGCAAGCAAGCAATCCTTCCTTCTCCAGACTTCAAAACTTCGGTGCCTGATTCACATTGGTCTGTTATAAGTCCTTCTCACTCTCCGCCTCGCCGATACATCGTCACTTGGCCACATCACATACCAACAACACATACACCCGTAAACGGCGCTTGGACATACACACATACACACACTCTCACTCCACCGACACTGACAACATCACCGACCTTGGACCCTCACCACCTTGTCCGTATGTGCCATCCAGAGTTTCTTCCTAGTCGTCCTTCTTCTTTATCAATGGCTTCCAGTTATTCCGAGCAGGGTTGCGAGAACTCTTACTCACTTCCACCCAGATCCCGAGCAGGAAGCCGCGTATCAGCCACCACTGCTCAGTTCGCAAGCATACAGCTCGTCGATTCCCCCAGAACCTTGCCGGTAGAGTCCAGCCCCTCCATCAGGTCCGAGGCTCTCCATTCCTCCGGCTATATCAGTCCCAACCCGCCCAGCTCGGCCACCTTCCTCTCAACCAACTCTAGCTCCCAAGGATACTCGCCTTTCCCCCTCCTGCCTCCCGAGATCTTGAATGCAGAGTGGAACGACAGCAACGAGGTACACCACCAACAGCACGCTTCCAACTCGACGCCTCTAGTCAGAGTAGACCCGGCCCAGGACACCTACTCTCACCACCACCCATCCTCATCGCCGCCACTACCACACGGAGCAAGCATGAGGTGCGCTCCCGGACCTTGAACCACGTTGAAAACCGTTGACCAGTCTCTCTAACACTTGTCTCTTTCCCAGCACTGTTGCTATCCCATTCGACCCCACGTTCACCATGGGAAGCCGATCAACATTCACCTGGCCTGGTAAATCAGCTCCCCCCTCTCCCCTTCCAACGACAGCTCATCCCTGGACGTGCCTCTAACATGCATAACCAAAAGGCCTCGAACACAGCGGCGAATCAAGCGGGACGCTTCTCGGCCACAACCTCGCATCTCTCGGCTCCTCAGACGCCAGCCTCACACCACCCAGCGGATCGAGATCAGTGACGGCCAGCCCGCCAAGGGGGGTCATGACGCCGGAGCAGCGGGAACTCAAGAAGCAGAGGGACCAGGCGCGCCGGGACTCAAAGACCTCTCAACGGGTAAGGAGAGCCGGCAGCAACAGCTACATCCACTCGCCACCGCTCTCGATGCCCGACGTCTCCAGCACGATGGGCGTTCCCGTCTACACCACCGCGCCTGCCCCGATCTCGCTCCTCGCCGAGCCGACGACCACCATGGGAAGCTCGTCATACCTCCCTTCGTACAGCCCGCCGCTGTCAGACCACGGCTACCAGAGCGGGTACCCCCCGATGGCGCCGGCCTACAGCATGGGCGGCATGGACTACTCCAACCAGTTCCAACCACCAGCACAGTACGGGTACGTGAGCAGCGAACCGAGAAGTGGTGGCCGAGGCCACTACTTTTGGCAGCAGCAGCAGCAGGGCAGGAAAGCTGACACACCGCCTCTTAGCAGCCGCCCTCCACTGTCAGTCAGCCAGGACCCGATGATGTACGGCGTGCCGCCCTCGATGGCGCCCGGAGCCGGAGCGGACCAGGGAGGGCACGTGAGGGTGGTGCAGAGCCGGCCCAAGCCCCAATGTTGGGAGCACGGCTGCAACGGCCGCCAGTTCTCGACCTTTAGCAACCTCCTCAGACACCAACGTGAGAAATCAGGCCAAGCAGCCAAGGCGACCTGCCCCAACTGTGGAGCCGAGTTCACGAGAACAACGGCGCGGAACGGCCACCTCCTCCACGACAAGTGCAAGCAGCGCCGCAACACATAGACCTGACGCCGCTGCTGCTGGGGTGACGTGGCTTAGGGGCACGGCCTGTCTTGTTTTGTTGGTGTTGGAAGCAGCCATCATTCATCATTATTTTTAACGACGCAAAGACCGGCATGACACCTTTTTTTTTTTTTTTTAACTCTTCCCTGTTGGTTGTTGGCGGGGGATGTATTGGACGGAGAGGGGGGCAGCACAGTCAGGGAGAGGGGCCGTCGGACTTTGGCTGGGCCCCTTGCTCTTCCGCTCCTCGCACATCATCCACGCCGACATGCGACGACCAACAACGTACGAGGACGACCAACGCCGCACTGCGCGTCGCTGCCCGCCCCCCTCTTTTTGGTGTTTTTTCTTCCATTCTATCTGTACATCCTAGGGAAAGAAGAAAACAAAAGGACTTTGGTTTGCAGAGGAGGAGAGGAGGAGGGGATGGGCCGTGGTTTGGGAATCAAAAATCGACTTTGCTTTGTCTTAGAGGACGGGAAACGGTCACAACGTGTCTGCCCTCCGTGGTAGCATGTTCACACCGACTTGGGAGGATACGGTGTTTATTTCTCTGTCATTTTTCGCTCTGCCTTGCTTTGCGTTGGCTACTTTGATTTTTGGACTTTTGTTTTATGGAGAAAGGGTTGGCATTCTTGGCTTATTTTCGTTCACAAAACACCAACCACCACCAACAACCGCGGCATCGGGGAACCCGGCCGCTTCTTCACCACCCCCTTTTTTTTTCACTTTCTATTCTCCTCATCTTCTAAGATATACCCTTTCTTTAGCGTTTCTTGAAATACACCTCGTTTCCCTCAGGGAAACGAAAGATTACGGAAAACGCTGTTCTTCTTTCTCTTCTTCTTGTTCACACAACCTTCTTCCAACCTTCAAACTTTTTTTGTCGTTTGGTTTTTTTTTACATATTGCCTATTTTGGACATACGGTGTTGATTGATTGAGAGAGAGAGAGAGACGTCTGGTACATAATTTTCTTCTACCTTTTTTTCGTATGCTGGTCGGGCCTCGATGGCACACACACATTACACACAAACACAAACGAATCAAAAATGCAAATGCAAATGTTGTTAAGAACCGAACGTCATCGGAGTTCCCTCCCGCCGCCCCCATCCGCTCTAATGTGACCTGTGAACGACTCCCGCAATGGATGCTACCCTCATCGGGGGAAAATTGACAACAGAAACAACAGTAACCAGACCCCTGGTTTTTTTCTTAATCTCGAAAAGACTCTGCAGCCTCTGACGGGCCTATGAACGGCGCGGGAGAGAGAGTCACCTGTTTCGGAGAGAGGCCCCCAAAGTTGGTCCCAACATGGTCTAGGGTACCCTTGGGCAGGGGAGGGGGGTGTGGTGGGAAAGGTCACAGTTGTCGCTTTCCAAAACATTGGTAGATTCTGTATCTTGTATTTTCGCATTTTTCTGTTTCTCCTCTACTATCTACGTTTCCTGTGATTCCCCAAGGCACGTCGTGGGTAAGGCATGCAATAACCACAAAAAAGGTGCCTCGGCTTCGTGCAGAAAGGACCTCGCAGAAGAAACGAGACCCCGTTTACCTTACAAAGGGAACAATAAGCATTGCTGGGAAGGATTACGAGATGGGGCGCGCGCGGGTTTACGGGTACGCGGTGCATGGTATGGTGCAGAATGGACACCTAGCTAAATTCGGACGGCGCGAGAAAAACGACGAATGAAAAAGAACACTGGGTTCAGCGAAATGAAGTCCAACGTACTTTGCTTCTTTCATCCGATGTCGTTTTTGGATCTTTTGTCAAGTCGTCAATATGGAGATACGACGGGTTCTAGCAAGGTGTGGGCGTGGCGGAGAACACACTAAACAGAAGGAAAAAAGAGATGGGGACCTGGCTCTCGGAGTCGCTCTCCGTCCATGGGTTGGTGGGTGAAAGGGGAGGGGACCCCCCCCCCCCCCCCCCCCCCCCCCCCCCCCCCCCCNGGGGGGGCCCCCCCCCCCCCCCCCCCCGCCGCTGTTGCGTAGGCGCCGCTTGCCAAGGGCGCGCGACCTGTGGCCGGGGGTCTCCCGGTGATGTCAAGATCATTCGAGCCGAGTTAGGAGGAGAGCAGGGCCTGCTTTATCCGGTCGAGCCTGGGGCCGGGGTTCAGTGGGGAATAATCCCAACCCAACTCCAGGAAGCAGCACTCCCAGGGGCCCCGGTCCTCCAGCACGACGGAGCTCACGGATCGTGGGGCTAATGATACCAAGAGGCTGGCGGGAGCAATTTATCGTCCACGTGTAAGTGAACGCAACTGCCTGTTACCGCAACGCGCGCAGCTTCCTTTACCGCCTACCGACATCCCAGACCAGTCGACGACGATACCAAGAAATTGTGCAGAGGCTTTGGGTTGAGTGGGGGGAGACGAGAGGTCATCGTGCCGGTGCCGGACAGAGACGGCGCGGAGCTTTGATCGTCTTCTGCGGATCTTTCTAGACCATGACTGATAAACGGCATCTTGAGGCTGAATCCACGAGTCGTGAAAGCCCGGCAGGCGGAGAGGCTCCATGCTCGGGAGACGCTGTTTGTCTTCCCCGTCCCCAGGGTTCAATGCAGCTGCCTGCCGTGGAACACTCAACAGCCGTGAGGTCGAAAGATGCTTTACCAAGTTGATGGGTCCGCGGGTGCAAAGATCGGCACCATACGCAGACAAGGCGAAGGCCTTAACTAGCAGATTGAGTGCTGATTTGACGGGGCCTGTTCCTCCCATCCCATCATGATCCGTCCCGTTTCCAGGTCGCAGCATCAATGCAAACGTCAAAATGGCCGAGCGATGGCTCTCTGCGCGCAGGCTTCGTTCTGCAACCCGCAGTCTGGGCCAGAGGTGAAGCATTCGAGCAGGAAGCGAGAGGGCACCAAGGCATGCAGCGTCCCAAAGCAGGCCATGACGACTTGCATCTTCATATCTGGCATGGCACGGAAGAGGGGCGGCATCGACTCGACCCAAGCCTCTTCTGTCGACACTAGTCCTGGCGGGCAATTGAAGACCCGCCTCCCGTTGCAACGGACCTGAACCTGGGCCTGTCTCTGGACCTGGATTGTAACCTGGAACCCGGGCTCGGGGGCTCTAGGACTCTGGCAACGGGTAGCGATCGCCGCCGCAGACAACCCAGCTTCAGTTGAGGCAACAGACATGTACATGCGCGCTATGTTTTTGCAGACGTCGTCCGCAGAACCTGCAGCCCGAAAATGCACAGGTAATGGCAGACGACCTGCGGCTCAGCATCCAAAGACTCGCTGTGCTCTGTATTTCGCGTTGCGACGAGCGTCTGGCAGCAACAAGCAGAAACGAAGAACTGCGAGATACGTACCTGGCCGCTGGTGCCCCGAGGTAGCGAATTGGAGATGCAGGTGTAGCTTCCCCGCCGTTCCCACCCCCCTCCCCGTCCGACACAGCCGCGATGGAAATAGGACGGGTCCTAATTTGTAGGGACGTTCGGTCCAAGGTAACAACGCCCCGAATGAGAGCAGCAGGCCGGTTGAGGGTTCATCTCGCCATGTGAGTAAGGTTTAGGGTCCCAAGTGACGGTGTGATGGAACAACAAGCCTCTGTTTAGGCATCGAAATAAGGTCGAATCACAGATGCGCCAACTCATCTCTATCCTCGTGGAAGTGAGATGAGCGTTGCTTTTTTGGAAATTGGGGCTTGGGACGGGCCGCCAGGGCGAGAAGGATGAAGCGGGCAGACGGCGGGCGAAGGCGCTGGCGCTGGCGCTGGAGGAGGTGGCGGCGGCTTGCAGCGTGTGTCGTTGGTGGTTGTCGATGGGCGATGATGACGACGATGCCGTCGTCGGTCGCTTGTCGTTTCCAATGGGCCCAGGCTGGCCGAGGGAATCACGCGCATCGTCTGCGGTGCTCCGCGGGAAGTCGGGCGTGTCGAGCAAGAGTGTGCCCAAGTGTGCCGTGTATAGCTTGTTGGTGGTTTGCCGTGGCCGCTGCGTCAAGGGCGTGTCATCCTCCCAGTCCAAGACACACGCAGACGCAGCCAAGGCAAGGTACACACCTACACGTCGGTGGGTGTACGATCAACATGGGATGAGGGAGAGAAAGCCAGCCTGCATTGCAGTGCAGCGCAGCATTGCAGCTCACGGTCGAAAAGCGGCGTGGGTGCCACCCGGTTGGTGTCGCGAGCAGCCAGGGCATTGGAGGTGACAGTCGAAGTGACGGGGAGAGGACGCAAAAAGACTCGACATGAGTGGACGGGCCGGACTACGATGAACGGCCCACTGGCAGCCAAATGGCGAGCAGACGAGTGCCCCGTCAGCCCTCATCCGACAGTCCATCTTCCAACAAGGGGGGAGAGAAAAAGCTGCGGATGACAAGTGAAGAAAGCCAGGGAATTGTGCAGGTCGGTGGATACTTGTCCGCAGTGCAGCGTCTCCACCAACACCAAAGTACCTTTTCTTGCAGCATCTCCACCTCAGTTGGTCGTCGCTGCTGAGCTGAAGCAGCAGCGTGTCAAACAACGCAGAAGCCGCTGCTTGTTGTGCCTCGTCTTGTCATCCCTCGGCTGTTTATTCCCACTGCCACCTCCAATTTCTCCAATTTCGCCTTTCCTTGCACTGCGCCGTGCTATAACAGCGAGTCGTATACATAGTATATACCCTTCGGTCCCGAGTCCTCGTCCGAAGTGCTGGGGTCTGGGTTCATGGTTCGTCTCGTTGGTTTGTGCTCTTGTCGGAGTCTCTCCGCCCCCAAATTCCAGGGTGGGGCGGGCGGTTCAAGTCGCTACCCGAAACTCTCGCAATGACCAGCCCTTTGGCCAGTACTCTCTCTGCACGTCGAGGTCGACCAATGTACTCTGCAGTACTCTTTGGAGAACTGCTCGTCCATCTCCCTCCACACCCCAGCCCTCCACTCACCCCCTCAGACCCCTCAAGAAGCTCGAGCCCTGCCCTATGAGGCACATGGCTTACAGGGAGCTCTCCAAGTTGGGAGAGCGAGGCGCGAGAGACGAGGCATGGAGATGAGCGGCCTTCTGTGGGAGAGGA